GATAGCAACCGATCAATGAGAGTACACCAATTTTGGAAGCTGATGTTGCTGAAACAGTAAAAGAGATTAATATTATTTGGAGATTCATAAAATTGGTTCATTCGAGAAATAAGCATTTATACTAAAACAAAAATAAACTAATAGATAGAAATGGAAACAAACCGGTTACTCCGCCAACATATATCGGTAAACTTCGGAAGAACTCCACCGAATTAGAACTTACCTTTGACGGTAAGCGTTTCCGATGCTGAAATTTGCACTCCACTTAAAAGTAATTTTTCATGTTGGAAATGTTAAAAATAAAATAACCTATTGAACTTCTTTTCTCATGTTGGGAAAAATATGTCATTGAACTTCTCTAAGTGAAATAGCAAAGAAAAAATCCGGAAACATACTCCATCAACCGTAATGATAATGATATTCGAGTGTGATATGGAAAGCGTAATATTATGCCAAGCGCCATCACATAGATCTTTTTTAAAAATATGCTTCAAATCATAATGTTTATCGTTAAACACAAGTTCAAAAGTCATCTGAAATAATTTTAGGATATTTCAAGTCAACATTTATAAATTAATTATTTGCATTTATGAATTAATTGTACAAAAAATTGCATTGATAAATTATTTATACAAAAAATTGCATTTATAAATTAATTATACAATGGTAAAACAAGAATATCCTATTGACTTGAAAAGAAACCGCCTTACGTTTCTCTTTTCGCTTACAACATTATGCGGCGATTACTGTTAGAACCGGTTACACTTGTTCAAAATTGTTAATATTCTGATGAAATTTTTAAAAAAAAAAAAGAAAAGCAAAACAGTGCTAACCATGCTATTTTTAAGGTAAACAGCAATTCGTGCATTTTCTGGATCTTTATTTGTCATCAAACCAAATATAAATCCATCTTTTACAGCAGGACGAAATTGTACCGTAATATGAATATTTTTGTGCTGTCGAATAGATTTTAATGATCCTGTAAACTCATTTCATCACTTTTATCCATTATAATTTTGCGTAATGAAAGGAAAAAGAATTGAAATGATCCGATCAGATAAATAAATTTAAAAATTCGATTATGCCATAAAAAACCGTTGACGATATTTTATCGGTTTTTCAAATATAATTTCTTGAAAATATAACAATTGATCGAATGTTTCAGTACATTGTTACTAGCATTTCATTACTCAGAAACTCTCTGATTGAAAGATTAATAAAATAGCACGAATGATGATGATTGGCGGTACTTCTTTGAAGTTAACATACTAAATGTCATATATCCGCCTTCATGAACGTATGCTGAATTGGAAGGAACGATGCACGGTACAACGTGACGACTTTTTTCAAATAAATCATGCTTAATGCCGTTTACCGTAAAATTTCTGAAATAAGCTGCATATAATAAGCTACATATAGTAAGCTGAATATTTTATTATATCAAAATTATTTTAATATTCATTGCATGCTACTGTATTTTTATTCATTAATGTTTAAACAATGAATTTCAATTTCCACTAGTATTATTAATTCATCAATAATAATTCCTTCATTTAGTTCCGCTTAAATCGTTAAATGCACAGATTTCAAACTTTTCAATTATTTTGCACTTTTTTTTTGAATTTTTCAGCAGCGCCATATATATCATTTTTATTGTTAATTATGGAAGTTATAAGAAAAAAAAAGAACAAAAGAACCTGATACAACCAGAAAATGAGGGTACTGTTAAATTGAACTGTTTCCGATGTCTTGAAATGACCCCGCCTACATACATCCGTTTACGTACCACTTTCGGATTTGGTGCATCTTTCAAGAATTGTGCCGGATTATGATCCACCTTAAATAACTCAATTCTTCATATTTATTTCACATTTGTTTGAATGAACAAAGCATTTTAACAGCAAATGATACAATAAACAAATTTCTTATAGAAACTGCTTATTGTTACCGTAAAATAAACTGAATATACATTACAAATGAATTTAAAAAAAAAAAAGACCTTAAGAAGAATTTCTTGGCCTTGCTTTATCATACTTATATCATGCCATTTCCCATCATTTAATTTATTTGATTTATACACCAAAATTTTTGATTCTTTAGGTCCTCGAACCTAAAATACTGATTAATTTAATATTTTATCCACATTTTACTTCTCTTCTTCAAAACTCTCTTACAGTTTAATTTGTGAATTACTGAAAAACGTATAATGAAATTTATACCTGAAGTTGTAACAATCCACTGATCATATTTAGGAAGAAATAACGCGTGTAATTACTGTAATTTGCCCAAATCCATAACATTCCGTCTGGTAATAGTGTACGGAGCGCAAATTCAATTTTGAATCTTAAAATATTTTATACCTATGTACCTTAAAATATTGCGAACATTTTTCAATTACAATTAATTACATGCCAGAATTCTTGGATCGACTATTTCAGGAGATAAACTTACTGATTAACATCCAAATAATCCTCCTCAAAGTTCAATCTCGAATGGCTTGCTTCCGCTATACCAAATCGTGCCGCACCTTCCCCGTCATTTTTAGCTAACACATTTGAACCGCACTGTAAGTTTTTTTTTGTCATAATTTAATTTGAAATTTCAACAATTCTCACAAAATAACATAAATTTAAGCTAGAATTTTGTTGAAATCATTTTTCCGCTGAAAATAATACTGCCAAGAAAATGGTAGGAGATGTTTTTTTTTTTTGATTTTTAAATGAATATTTAAGAAATTCAAAAAAAGAAACCTTTCCAGGACCAAAATCTGTTAAAGCAGTGAAATCACTAGTGCCACTATTATCATCATCATCATCATCATCATCGTCTTTTTTTTCCGTCAATTCCGTAAGAATTTCGGTTGTAGAAATGTCATTGAAAGTTGTTGGAATTGTCGTTATCATAGATGATTTCAAATCAATTAGCTTCAATTCTTCTGGCATCTTATTAGCTTCTCTGATGGCTACTGGATTTGTTTTGATTGATCCTGCATTTCAGGAATTTACTCAAATAATTTCATGTAATACTCTTCATGCTATTAAATGCAGTTGAATAGCATAAATTTTTTTTTTTTTGCACTTAAACAAATTTTGCTATTTCATTTGAAGATTAGTTATTACTCAATAGCATAAGATTATTACTATTAGTTATCGTTGAAGAAAAATATATATTAGTAAAGTATTAAATTTAAATAACTATAGACAGAATTAAAATCTAAATAAAATAATGCATCAAATTTGCAAAGGATAGCAAAAATGATCAAGATATATATATACTAGCATGAAAGTGTTAGTAAGCCAGAATTAAATGTTTCATTTCATTTTCTATTTTCTATCATAAAATGTGAAATCATTTAGTTCATGCTACCTTCGATAAAAATAAATGAGAAATAAAAATTGGACAACTGATTTATTTATATCGTATTGGAGAGAAATATAGAAAGCAACTTATATTATCATTTCGCTATATCAAATAAATTTGCTAAATAATAATTTTCATGAATTTTCATGCTTCCTAAATCTCTCACTATCAAATATATCTTTTCTATCTATCGTATCTCTCTATCACTGATATGATTGAAATGCAATGACCACTACTTTTGCATCAAAAAAAAGAAAAGAAAAAAGCTTTAAAGCAATGTAGTTGTTTGTGTTTGTAAAAAGGAAAGATAATCATTATCATTATCGTATCATATCAATATCACTATTATTACCATCCGCATATAGGCGTTCCGTTTTGGTGATCAATGTCGGCTCTGTTAGATGCAAAGAAAGTTTCGATGCTTTTAGATTGAAAGCATTTTGATCGTCTGCTTGTAATGCTTCCATATCTGCTCTCCGTTCTACAGAAAGTCGACAAACACACAAAATTTAATTTGTAAAAAAAAAAAGAATAATTTCTACACAGGTTTCCAATAAAGATAATGCACACATTTGAAAAAAAAACGAAAATAATTTTTAGTTCAATTTTTATCATTTTAATCTAATAACTGGCAATGCATACATGAAAAAAAAAATGAAAATTTTAGTTCAATTTTTTTTTATTATTTTAATCTAATAATGATTGTTATGATTCTACTGAGTTCTTTTAAATTAATTGAAGTAGCAATAAGATTGAATAATTTCACCTGAAGCACGAATAGAAATAGGAAAAAAAAGTCAAACTAATACAAAATTAATTAGTATAAAGATGGCAAAAAGCAAATTAAAAGCTTCAATTATGCTAATTAAATTAACACTTTTTAAACATTCATAAAGATATCGAAAAAGCACTGTACAACGTAATTTGTAACTTTGTCCTTTTATGTGTGAATGAAAAAATTGTATTGCTTCTGTAACTGTCAAACATTTCAATCTTCGGGATTCAAAACAATGAATACTATTTTTAAACATATTTTATAAAATATATTGAATAATCTGGAGTAGAGATTCACAGGATAATGTACAATATATAATAAAAATTTAATTAAATTTGTTACCTGATTTTTGTAGTGAGAAAATTTGTTCCACTGGACAGGTACCAATTAAAGCAATATGCGATTCAGGTATGATTGGGAGAAGTCTGTAATTAATTTTACAAAAACCATTGATGTAAATTTTTGCTTTTGCAAAAAACAAAATGTTTGATAATAATGACCTTGATTCACTTATAGAGTAACAGTGAATTAAGATCATTATTGCTAACTGTCATTCTTATTTATTACTCATTCATATGGATCAATTTAAATTTTGCGTACATTTAAGATAAACCATTGATTACCCTATCGTATATTGATTAATAAATCATATGATTATTCAGCGCTGCTTTATCATCTGATTAAAAAAAATGAATGCAAGTTGAATATAGCTATTTCAGATTTTGATATCAATAATGATAATATGTACCGCTTGATAATCTCTCACTTCATTTTATCAATTAATTTTACTTCATTTAAATCATTTAATTAGTAAAGAAAAAAGAGAATTGAACTGACTGATAATCAGCGAAAATATTCGATACACATCCAATCATCGATTCTGAAACTGGCATTTCATTAGGTGATGGTTTTATACCATCGGGAAATCCACCAATGAATAATTGCGATGAAGCAGTTCCTATAGTATTCTGTTCACCAAGAGTACCGGAAGCTATTTCTCGATCATCAACCCGAAGACGTACCCTATAAAAAATTTTTCATTTTATTAATTGTCATCATTTTTCTAAGCCTATACTCATCTTAACTAGCTTATAGTATATATGTTACGCGATACTTATACTCATTATCTCATCTTATAGTATACGTTACCTATACTCAACTAGCTTATAGTATATATATATATATATATGTCTTATAGTATATATGTTATCACCTACAATTTCGTATTTTTGTTATCAGATGTATAAAAGATCAACCAATTGATTATTGCTGATATCATATACGATACTGATTGATATCTTATACGACATGATAATGTATTGGTTGATATCGTCAGCATTTCATAAGGTCATATCTTAGTTAATCATTTTGAACTTAAAGATATTCTTAGTCAATATTTTCGAACTAACAATGTTTCGAAACGAGTGAAAAAGATTGAGTGAAGTTGTCCATCGTTATAGGTCACTTCAGATCTTAATGTGAGCACTTTACTTTTCTGTGATGAATCGGTCCCGAGATGTACAACCAAATAGCCGCGATATAAGTAAAATGCCAGATAGCCCTAGATCAATATCATTTTTGAATTCCAAAAATCGTTTTTTTTTTATTTAAAACAAAATTTTTCTTTCTACAAATTTTCTAAAGCTTTCAAATAAATCAATAAAATTTCGCAAATTATTTTAATAAAAACAACAAAATGATTGCAAATGACAGATCTGAGAAAAGAAAAATGAATAAAAACTAACAGTCCCAAAAGAATTCCTAATTTTTCGACGTTTTCTAAATGTTTCCAATTCGCTCGATTGGAATAGCAATGTAGCATTAGCAGTTTTTGTGCGGAATGCAAATGCAAACCTAAAAATCGAGAATGAAATTGAAAGGTAGCATTTTTTTCTCAATTTTTCAATTATTTTAAGAATTTGTTAAAGAAAAATAAATCAAGAATCTTAATAAATAATCTGATAAAATTATCATACGTGGAATTATTGCTAAGTTGAATTCCTTGAATGACCAGATAACCTGGACGATTGAAACCAACCACTCTATCAGTTGGTTGCAATCTTTCACCATTTTTAAAAGTACATCCACGTAGCTTACGTTGTGAACGTATTGGATTATCGAGATCCAATTCTGCAACCTGAAATTGATGATTGTTTACAGTCAAGCTAAAATGCTTAACAATATATGCAAAACGCATGGTATCAATCAAAAAATCAGTAAGTAATCTGATTACGAGATACAGAACTTCTTGAAGTATTAAAAATTGATATTGCTTTTGGGAAGTAATTAAAGTATACTATTCATTTGCTAGTTAAATGCATTTCCAATACTTTTAAACCGCGCAAGCACAGATCAAAGTCTAAAGTCTAAAGATCAAATAAGCAGATAGAAATTAATATGCAGAAAAGTAAAAAAAAAAGCACTTGAGAAGGTCGGACTGATTGAATGCAGCCGAAAAATCCATCCCATTGTATATCAAAATGGCGGAAAACACTTGTATTGAAGCCCGGCGGAATGCCGCCCACGTAATGATCATCACCGTTAATATTTAACTTTGCATTTTGACCAGGTATCGTTGCAGAACTACGATCACTTTCGTCATCAACCTGAAATTTGACGTGCCTCATAAAAATTGTCTATTTTAAAAATCGTAACAATTCTTTACAGTTGTAATGGAGACCTAACTGATAGGTCGGAATCGTTCATTTAATTTAATTTGTTATCATTTAATTGAGTGAAAGAGAAAGAAAGAAAAAAACCTGCAAATGTATTTTTTCATAGTTTCTGATGACACGAACAGTATGTGAGCGACCATCAGCGTAAGACGATTTCTTAGATTTAACAATTGCATATGAATCATTGCCAAGATTGATCTAAATATCATTAATGAATAATTAAAAGTAAATAATGAAATTAAACAAAATTGGTTACATTTTAATAAACAATACTGTTTAACAGTCAATTATATTAATAGATTAAGGTGAATTTTTTCTCCTTCTCTCTCTCTCGCTTTCTCTTTCTCTCTCGTTATCCATTGATTATCACAGAGTACCAGCATTATCTAGTGTAACTTACTGATTAAAGAGTAACATTAATACAATAACTATATTTCTCGTTGTAGAAATTTTTAGCTAGAAATCATTACTATGCTAATATAGGCTATAGTGACCATAGTAACTTAAGCTATAGATTAATCCGAGACTTAGCAGATACAGATAAAATTCTATTTAATGAAGAAGCCATTAAAAAAAATGAATGGATAAATTGAGAGGAGATGAGATACCCTGAAAAGAACGTGTCCATCATGAAGTTCCAGAGAGATGAAATCACCATTTTCTTGATTACCACGGAAATATAGCAGACCATTGGGTGAATAAGCTGATAGGATCACGGTTATTTGCGCTCCACTTGGTCGTTCTGTTGAAGGAAGATGAATTTGTGCAAAACCATCACTAAAATATGAATTAAATTAATTTACCAATTCAAAATTACATGGGAAAATTGAATATGTAAAATAGTGAATTTATGCTAAATGAATTTTTTGAAATCGAAAACTTACCGGAAAAAATAACCAGTAGTTTGAGTTTCTGGTGCAGCAAAATCTCCTTCGCAAACTTTGCTACTTTCCGCAAATGCCCAAAGTGGTAATGTTTCACCATCAACTGTAAATTCACCAATAGTACCGAGAAATTTGTTAGTTGCTAATCCTAAATCCTGTGATAATTTTGCATCGATACCAAATTCAATCAGTGTTTCACCATGTACCGTATTAAAAATGATGGTATCATCTTCATCCGGTTGTCCAACCGATACGGTAGTCGGTTCACCGATTGTTCGTTCACCTTCACCACTTATTGTATGATGAAGTGCTACGGTCAACGTTACTGAATTACCAAATCTGAAAAAATAATGGAATAAAGATTAAAACTTTTTGTTGAAAGCAAATGTGATAAATTAATATTTATAATAGTAACTAATCCATTCTATTAAATTAAAACGGAATAAATTAAATCATTTATGGAAAGGGGACAGGTCAACTTTTACCTTTCCAGTACTATATGATACCAGGCAGTTCGATCACTTGGTGCAATATAATTAATGGTATGCGTATTGGTAGCCATACGTGTACCGGAACCAATATTCCATTGTACAACAATACGTCGATCCCTTAATTCCATTGCAATGTATTCGGATTGCTGAGTGCGTTTAGTTTTTGTTTTCGTTAAAAATAGCAATGAATCCGGAACATTCCGCAACGGACGATATTTGATGGTAAACAAATTGGTTGGTGCCAAATGTGCGGGTGAGATGAAAGCACGGCGGCAATTACCATTTTCATCTGATTTCATCGAAATTCGAATCTGCACCAAACAAAAACATTTATGCTCTATTTATTTCCATCTTTTTTTTTCATTTTTATCAAATTGTTAGCAGTAAAATAAAATGAATTTAACGTGTGAACAATTTCTAAAAAAACTAAAAATAATGAAAAGTAAGATATTTATTATAGCAATAAAAATGTCCACAATGAAAAAATTACGATTTTAGACTGATGATTATCGAGAATTAGAAGTTTACTTACGCGTGATGCCTTCTCACGTGCTTCTTTAATTTTTTCCTGTAATAATTTAATTTGTTCTCCTAGAACACTGATCCGTTTTGAATCACTATCTGTTTGCTTTTTTACTTCCGAAACTTTTTTCATCGCTTCTTGCGCTCCTTGATTAGCTTTACGCACTAAAATTAGCATTATATATTTTTGCATATGCTTATAACTATCACAGGATACCAATAAATTGTTTCGTAGGAATTAATGTCTAAGTTATGACTGTTTGATAAAGATATATAACAACTTTGAAATGATAAAGTTGCAGATGCTTTAAATTTCTCATTAATTTGCATATATTGAAAATAGTTAGCAACAATATATGGAGTTTAGAAGAGAATTTTTTAAATCTTGAATTTTTCCATTGAATTCATTCAGTAAAAAAAAGGAATAAATCCGTTTATTGATTTTGCAGCATTATACATTATTTCAGTTCTTTCAAATTTCTTACAGTTAAAATTTTTCAATAGTAAAAACAGCCGTTTAACTCACCATCATTAGTGATATTCCGGATACTCTCACCAGCAAAACCCCGTAGTTTTAAAACAGCATCATTCATTGTGTCAATTTCAACAGATATTGCTTGCATTTTCTGATGTACATTCTTGGCTCTTTTTTCTGCGTCATCAGCTACGCTAATTAATCCGGTCATTCGATCGTGTTGATCATCGAATAACTGATACTGTTCACCTAAATCAGAAATTTTTATAAACCAGAAAAAAATACGAGTTTGTGAATAAATCATTTCAAAGGAATTGAAAAACTCATAATTGATAAGTGGAATTTATCTTTCACAACTTTTACTATTTTTTAATTCTACTGGATCAAAATTATTTATCATTGTATTTTTTTTTTTGAATCGAGTGTAAGCAACAAATTGATATTACTTTCCACGAATGATAATTAAAACTTACTGATTGCTAATTTTCGTTTTATCGAATCCTGTAATGTTTCGTTCAATCCGTTAACTATCATAGTAGCTGCTAAGCGTTCTTTTTTTAAATCTTTCAGGCTAAGCTCATCAGCTTCTTCTTTAATAGCTATACTAAGATTTTTAGCCTGTAGCGCCATATTAACCATTGAAATCTCAGATTTTGGATCCGCATCAGTATATGCAAATTCCGCAGCTTTCTTCGCTCCTTCTGCCGCTTTGCTAGCATTTCGTAAAGCTTTCAAAATTTCCTTGTAAGCATTGGATGCTCGAAGAGGATCTGCTGCGGCATTCTTTGTATCCGCAAAAGAACTAAACGTAAATCCAACTTCATACATATCTGGTAATACTAAATGATAATCTAGAAAGACTTAAATAAACAATTTCTTAGGAAGAAAAAAAAAAGGATTCATTCAAAGTGAAATGCTTCTATAAGCAATTATAAATTTTTACTTTTGCAATTTTTGCGCTTCATTCTCGAGCTCTGCTGCATGACGTTCATTTTTCTTCACATACTCTTCATGATATTCATCCAGAAGTTGTCCATATTTGTCAGCTTCATCACGACATTTTTGTGTCGCTTCATCTACTTCTGGTAATAGCGTTTCATTGATGAGCTAAAAAAATAAAATCTCCAAATATTTGATGGAAAAATTCAAAAAAAAAAAATCGTAAAACAATTACACTTAGCATCTAAAATTTGAAGATATTACTCAAACGATTTTCTCTATTCCGAAAAACTTTTAATAGATAGTAACTGTCTAATTCACATTCATGTACTTTTTAAAATTATCATAGTATATACATTTTTTCTCATCAAAAAACAAATTGAACGAATTAAAAACCTTGAAATCATCGAACATAGCTAAAATTTTTTCTGTTTTTGCAATCGATACTTTATTTTCTGATTCATTCAATTCATCGGTTGCTTTAGCTAATAGCGTAGTAATATTTGTCTTTACAGCATTAAATCGGTCCACTCGTTTTGCTACAATAATTGTTATTTTATCGGCGGATACGGTATCCTGACGTGCTCTATCCCAAATGGTATCACGATAATCGTTTAGCCATTGTTCGAAAGCATTCAATTGTTTACGCAATTCAACGAACGACGTATGATTTAGCATACGTGATGTTATCAGCTTCATTAAATCTTGAGATTTCCTGAAATATCTTAGCTAGCATGTTACATTCAAGCATGTTACATTTTAGAAAAAAGATACTTTGTTACACTCGTCAAAAAATTATCACAATTATTTGAACAGATTTAAAATTTAGAAATTTAAACAGATTTTACGAATTCTAAATGTCATTTAAAGTGGGCACGTTTTATCTTCTCGTAAATGATAGGCCCTTTTTTTTTGCAAAAAAAAAAGCATTACAGGAAAATCAAGCAAAAATATTAATTGCTATTTGAGAATGAGACTAACTCAAAATCGGCATTCCCACGATTGTAACGCTTCTCGATGTAGATTCCACGTTCCTTCATAACATTCATGTAATCGTTTGCTTCCTGGATCCAAACAGCAATTTTTGAACTATCCTGTTTTCCAAATCCGTAATTTATATAATGTTGTAGCTGATTGATAACCTCACGAAGAATTTTATCCTGTTCTCGAGCTCTCCCAGATAAGTCTCCAGTTTTTACCGTACTCTCTTGCAAGGTATTTTTTGATTTATTAGCTCGTTCCAGCAAAAATTTCGTCTGCTCTACCAGGCCGTTAACTTCATCTAAGAAGTTATCATCTATGCCAATGTCACTTTTACGTATATCTTCATTGATAGAATTCCCCAAATGTAGCGCTTCCAAAATTAAATGCAAATCTAGAAAATAAAAAAAAATTGAGGTTTTCATGCAAAATTTAAAGTTCGAATATAGCTACAATAAATAGTCTACGAAATTTCAAGATTCGTAACCTTTAACGGCTTGTTAAGTTAAGATCAGAGATTACA